TATACTAATAATTACTTATTAATAATTTTTGCAGTGCACTGGCTATATCTGAAGCTTGTAAGGAATGCTACGCGGATGACGATAGTATTTCCGGGTCAATGCTTAGTTTAGCTCATAGCAACAGCTCGACGTCGTTTCCTCCTACAAGTCTTTAATTTCAATTTACATATTAACGAATATATTATATATATATATATATTTTCATCATTGCCATCGTCATAGATAGATTATACAATATTTATAAAAATTGTATAATAACGCACAGGTTAAAACCTGATTTTTTTTAGTCTCTCTCTCTCTCTCTTATAGCAGCCTATGCCAAAGTAAAATCATATTCATATATATTTTAAATCTTTTTATGTCCACAATATTTATAATATAAAACTTACATTCCAGTGTGCTGCCAATTAGTGGATTTATTATTGACCTGCTATCACGGCAACGTTATATAAAAAAAAAAACAAAAAAACAAAAAAAGAATAAAAATTAACATTATTATTATTATTATTTTTTTTTTTTTTTAAAACAAATACATACATACATAAATATATATATATATATATATATTATATATACAGATAAGTAAGTAAAAATATATATAGATGTTTGTTCATTGAGTTCAAATGCGAAATGTCGGCTAAAAAAATGAAAAAATTAGTGCTTTTAAATAGTTTTAATTAGATATTTTTTACACTACCAAAAAATAAATATAAGATAATGCGATCAATTATTATTATTATTATTATTATTAGCCTTCAATTGTGGTTCTTTGAATTAATTGGCCGTGATGATATTTTATAATACCATTTTTACTCTTGTTTTAATTTTTATTTTTATCCTTAAAATCGGTCCGTCTGCTTTTTTTAGCATTTTAAATAAATTTCGTACAGTTTTTTTGCTAATTCAGCACTAATATATATATATATATATATTTATATATATTTATAAAGTAAATAAAATGCAAAGAAAAAAATTATAATAATATTGTTTATTTTTAAACTTGACATACGTACACTTGATTTAAGAGGAAAAAATGTTTGCATGATATTTAAATAATAGTAGAAATATTGTTTTTATCATCATCATCATCATCATTTACCTTTCCGGAGTCGCATTTTTTTTGACAAAGCCAAAAAAAAATTGATTATATTAAATTTTCTTATATTATTATTATTATTCTTAAAATTCTGGTTAAAAAAAAAAAAAAATCATATTAAAATTATGGCAATTATTGTTACTAACTAATTAAAATAAGAAATAAATACAAGAAATAAACCTTTTTTTTTTTTTTTTTTTTTTTTAGTTTTAAATGTTAAAGAATTTTATTGAACTAAAAAAAAAAATAAAAAAAATATTTAACTAAGTAAGCTGCGATGAGGTATAAAAAAAAAAAAAAAAATTTTTTTTTTATTTATTATTATTTTTAATTCAAAGCCTATTAAAAATTTTTTTTGTTAAAATTAATTTTTAAATTTAAATTTCTGTGCTGCATTTTTAACCTGTATTTTTTAAATTATATAAAAATATTTATTTATTTATTCTTATTCTTTTTTTGTTTTTGATATGATATAAAAAAAAAAATATATTTCTGAGTATGATATGATGATAATATTTAATATTAATTGAATTCAATTTCATCATCATCGATAACGGATTTATTAATTAATTAAATAATTATTTAAATACAAAATTAAATCTTTGCTTTCTGTTGCTTGATCATATCCTTTATCAAGTCATGGAAAATTAGAAAATAATAATAATTGAAAATTAACAGATTCTCTATTTTGTATTGTTTTGTTCGGAAAACCATAAAATTTTTCTTGTTGTAGGCGTTTAAAAAAATGCTTAAATAAAAAAAGAA